AACACTTACTTGAACTAAAACATTAACTGGCTACTAAAATGGATAACAACAAAGGTCGGTGGCAATGATCAGTTCAAGGTCTAAAGCTAACAGTTTAGGTGTGTTTACTCTCCTGCGACAGGTGCGGGACTCGGCAACAGACCGGAGTTTTTTCTTAAATCAATAAGGGGTTAGTGGTTTGTGCGCGCCCGCGCAGTGGAAGAAGACGCTTTGAGGAGACAATAGCCGGGTTTGGAACCCCCCAAGGCGGATCATGTGCCGCTGATTATCATACAGCTGTTCTCATGAGGTTCAGACAAAGGCAACAGAGAGTCTCAACGACTCCCTGGTTACGCCTGCACACATGCGCGCGCGTGTGCGTGTGCCGCCTTCTTTCTTGTGACACAAGAGCACAACAGAAGTCTGAATGACCGCTACACACACAATGCGCGCTTATCCGGAACCTGCCCACTCTTTGTCACCTCACACGCGCCACAGCAATTAGAAGGTTGAATACTATTCTTTGCTCCCTTCTGATCTTTAGTGTATGTATAAAACACTTTCTAAACTATGATATACAGCCACAGAGCCCACGGTCATGATTCATGTGGGAGGTCTTGAATGCTTTGGAGCGCGTTTGATTAAAACTGCAACAAAATTCTAAACAGAGAAGAAAAAAATCCTTTCAGAGAGAAAAGAAGTTCTGATTTAAAACTAACTCCAAACACTCTTCAACGCCCATCAATAAAAGTTGGATCGTTTGCTATCAAACTGACTTTATTGTCTATTTGTGACAATCTAGTCCCATCACCTGCTTGCTTTTTTTCCTGGCTGATCAAGAATCGTACAAACTTGATAAACGTATCTTCATGTACCAGCTTCTAATGCATATTCCAAAGAACTTTGTCCAGATGTAACGAGTGTTCCCTAAATCCCTAAGCAGGCCCCTTGTGTCTGGATGCAAATCTACTCCCCTGAGGTCTGCCACGGCTCCACCTCTTTGCCTGTGACGCGCAGATCAGAGGGTATAAAACCGCTCTGCGCCTTTACGCACCAGAACCCAAACAAGACGAGTGCCAATAAGAGGTGAGAGGACAAAGGAGAGGACTACCAAGACGTCTCAGGATACCCTGAAAAGATAACAGACTTAAGAGTGATGAAAAATATTTGAGAGATTTCCCCTCCACTGTGACAGCATCCTGAAGTGATCTATCTGTCTGGCATTGTGACGCACGGCGAATGAGGAGCTCCAAACTTTAAACTTGGAAAAGCAAACTTCAGGAAAAATGGCACATTTGCATCTGAGATGCCTATTGGCTCTGGCCTTAGTGCACGTTGTAAGTTGTCTTCAGTTTATGCTCAAATAACACCATGAAGACGTCTTTACGCCGTGATATCTTATTTTATTTATTTCTCATTACAGGTTTTGTCCTCTGGTGTGTTTGAGCTGAAGATTCATTCCTTCCACACCGCGCAGCGGATCTGTCGAAGACACAGGGACTGTCACATTTTTTTCAGAATTTGCCTGAAACACCCGGAGGATGTCATCTCCGCAGAGCCGCCCTGCACCTTTGGTACCGGACAGACCAACGTCATCAGAGCCGATCACACCTCGATCTCCAGCAGCGCTCCCATCAGGGTGCCTTTCCACTTCAAGTGGCCGGTAAATAAATAATAAAGAACATCAGTTACACAAACAGTGGTGCTGGAGTTCATATACCCGTTTAAAATATTCATAGTTTACGTCCGCTACACATCCCTGATCTCGAACTTGCCGAGTACTGATGCGCTTTCCCCCTCCTGTTTTTAGGGAACATTTTCGTTGATCATTGAAGCCTGGAACGCTGAATCTCCCACTGAATACACAGGTAGGTTGTTTTAAATAACT